CCCCAAAGACTGTTCAGTTAAAGACTGTGAATAGTGGTGGCAGAAGGGCCAGAATAATATTGGATAAATCTGTTGTCACGATTCCTGGGTACGCAAACCCTAGGTCTGCTTATTCTAAGACTGTTTTATCTAAGCCGGCTTCTTCACCTACCTGTCAGCCTGTTCCGGTTTCATCAGCCCAGGCCACTCTTAAAAATATTCATGCACCCAAACCTGCCAGTATCACTCACCCTGTCATTATTTCCACCTCTATCAGTTAGCCAACACCCACACCTGTGCCAGCGCCCAGGCTGAGGGCAGCTGTGACCCAGTCTGACCTCCCTAGAGGCTCGGAAGAGCTAGCCTCTCCACCTGTCAGTCTACCACTTCATCCACCTCCTGATCCAGCCTTTCACGCACTAGCACTATCCCTGGTCAGGCTAGCTGATCTGTTTCCGGCTCAAGCACCAGATTTACTAGCCCAGGTTTCTGCACCCGCTGGCCCTGCCTGCCTCCAGCCAGAGGCTCCCACGCTATTGCCTGCAACTGCTCCTCCGCCGGCTCCCACGGTGTCGTCTGCAGCTGCTGCTCCGCCGCAGCCTCCTCATACACGTTGGATTTGGCATCAGCGACCACCTTCCAGGCCGCTGACTGGACCTTGTCACCGGTGTGGTCAGCCTCCAGACCTGCTCAGCTGCCACCACTGCCTTCCACGTGGCCGGCCTCCAGACCTGCTCAGCTGCCACTACTTCCTTCCACGTGGCCGGCCTCCGGACCTACTCAGCTGCCACTACTGCCTTCCACGTGGCCGGCCTCCTGACCTACTCAGCTGCCGCCACTGCCTTCCATGTGGCCGGCCTCCAGACCTGCTCAGCTGCCACCAATGCCTTCCACGTGGTCGGCCTCCGGACCTGCTCATTCGCCTCAGCTGCTGGCCACACAGCCGCCCAGCAGAACTGTTTTGGCTCAGCTGTTGGCCACGTGGCCGCTCACCAAAACTGTGCCTGTTTGGACTCTGTCTGTAGTCCCAGCCTGCTTCAAAATGGCCACCATCATTCTGTGCCCAAATCCTCCACCATCTCATCACTGAACAACTGGCAACCGGTAGCCCTGACCCACATCACTGAATTGAATTGAAATGTAAGTCCTTCACCATAGGGAGAGGGCAACCAGTTATCTTTTGGGTCGAGTCAGGGTTACACTCTCAATGGTAGTGCTATAGAAGGACACCATCAGTTTCTGTGTGATATTATTCTTCCTGAGAATTCTCAGGAAGTACAGTTCTGTTTTGGACCTTCTTCAGTAGCTCAGAGGTATTTATACTCCAGGACAAGTTCTCCTCCATGTGGACTCCCAAAAAACGAAAGTCCGTCACCGTCTCCACACAGTCTCCCTTTATAGTTAGGGGTGAAAACTCTGTCTTTTTCTTTCTAAAGTCAATTATAAGTTCTTTGGTTTTTGAAGTACTGAGAACAAGATTGTTGATTTTGCACCAAGACACCAGTTGCATCATCATCATGAGCAAATGTTTCGAGAGGCTGTTCAGGGACTTCATCTGCTCTGCACTACCCGACTCACTGGACCCTCTACAGTTCGCATACTGCCACAACAGGTCCACTGATGATGCCATAGCCCTGACACTACATACTGCCCTGTCACACCTGGAGAAGAGAGACACGTATGTGAGAATGCTGTTTGTAGATTACAGCTCAGCATTCAATACCATCGTTCCCTCGAAGCTGGACAGGAAACTGCAGGATCTAGGACTGAGCAGCTCCCTCTGCAGCTGGATCCTTAACTTCCTGTCTGACAGACGCCAAGTGGTCAGACTGGGCAGCATCACCTCATCCCCCATCACACTGAACACTGGTGCTCCACAGGGGTGTGTACTGAGCCCTCTCCTGTACTCACTCTACACCTACGACTGCACAGCCACTAACAACTCCAACATCATTGTGAAGTTTGCGGACGACACTACAGTGGTGGGTCTTATCACCAACGGTGATGAGACGGCCTACAGGGAGGAGGTCAGCGCCCTGACCCACTGGTGTCAAGACAACCATCTCACCCTCAACGTCGCAAAGACAAAGGAGTTGATAGTGGACTTCCGGAGGTGCAGAGAAGTACACACCCCCATCACCATCAACGGCGCTGCTGTGGAGAGAGTGAGCAGCTTCCGGTTCCTTGGTGTACATCTGGCTGAGGATCTTACGTGGTCAGTACACACAAACAAAACAGTGAAGAAGGCGCAGCAGCGCCTCTTCTTTCTCAGGAGACTGAAAAGATTCGGCATGAGCCCCCGCATCCTCAGGACCTTCTATCACTGTGCCATTGAGAGCATCCTCACTGGATGCATCACCACCTGGTATGGCAACAGCACCGCCTACAACTGCAAAGCTCTCCAGCGAGTAGTGCGGTGCTCTGAACGGATAATTGGAGGTGAGCTTCCCTCCCTCCAGGACATCTACAGGAAGCGGTGCCTGAGGAAAGCGGGGAGGATCATCAAGGACTCCAGTCACCCCAGCCATAAACTGTTCAGACTGCTTCCATCAGGAAGGAGGTTCTGCAGCATCCGGTCCCGTACCAGCAGACTGAGAGACAGCTTTTTCCACCAGGCCATCAGACTGCTGAACACGTCATAGACACCTCACCTTCACTACTGGAACTTCAACATTATACACTCCATACTGTACATGTATGTCATTTCTTTTGCACAATATTCAACTGCTAACCTCCGTATATTGTATATTTTATTTTACATACATATATAAACACACAAACACATATATATATATACATATTTGGTATACAAATTCAGTAATGTGCATACGTTCTTATATTTGTACATATATTTATTCTTTTAATTCTCAGATTCCTGTTCTTATATTTAACTTTGTTTGTGTGTTATTGTATTTTGCACACCTCTGTTGCTTGTGAAGCTTGCACACAAGAATTTCACTCGCATGTGCTGTACCAGTACATGTGATGTGACAATAAAAGTGATTTGATTTTGATTTATTAATTCTTTTTTCTGAGCTGAGCACTAAATCAGATAAAAAGTCTGAGCCCAGGTGGACGATAGATGATAACAAATAAGACTGGTTTCCTTTTTACAGCTGGTGGACAAGGCTAAGCATTAGGCTTTCAAATGAATTAAAAGTCTGTCTGGGTCTTTGGTTGATTAATAGGCTGGTGTGAAAAATTGCTGCCACACCGCCCCCTCGGCCTGTGCTTCGAGATTTCTGGTAGTTAGAATGACTCGGGGGTGTTGATTCATTTAAACTAACATAATCATCCTGCTGCAACCAGGTTTCTGTAAGGCAGAGTAAATCAATTTGTTGATCAATTATTAAGTCATGTACTAACAGAGACTTGGAGGAGTAAATGACCCAGATTATTTGTTTATTTGATATTTTTCAAACAGTTAAATCCCTGAACGAATTATACCTTATAATATAGATTAGACTCTTATTTTGAAATTCGGAACGGGCAACTTCCGGGAAGGAAGATCGTACTGCTACTGCTTGCCGCAGAAAAGGTTAATGAGAAGGTTATCGTTTTCCATCCATCTTTAAATTAGCATCTAGCTGGAAGGCGAACAGGTATGTTTGTAGGGATGGGTACCGGTGTCCGGTGCCATGATGGCACCGGTTCTGACATAAACGGTAGTAACCAGACCGAAAAGCAGCGCACATTTCGGTGCTTTATTTCGGTGCTTTTTTTTCCTGAGCTGTGATACACTTCTAGCCAATCATTTTACGTTTCCGAGGATAGTAGGCGGGGCCAGGTACGTACGTTCTTTTAGAGCAGAGCTACAGATTAAAAATGTCCAAGGCGAAGCGGTCAAAAGTCTGGCTGTACTTCACAGCAAAATATGCAAACTCAGCAGCCTGCAACAAGTGCTTTAAGCTGATACTGTGATACTGTCAAAGGAGGTAACACCAAGAATCCGATTAAACAGCTGGCGACGCATAGCGTTTTTTTTAAAAGCCGAGAAATGCGCCGTATTTGATAGCTTGCTGCGAGACCTCACACCGTGCACGTCGGGTGGGTTGCCAGTTATCGGACCCGGAGCAACATCCCCCAAAAACCCGAAGAATAGAGTCCTGGCCCCTAGCCCTGCCAGTGTAGCAGAAATGATGACGGATGATGATGGCAGCAGCAGCCGTTCTTCTCTGCGTGAGTAGCTTAATGTTGTTCGTGTGTAATTTACGTTGAGTAGGCTAACCACGTTATTACATTAATGCATGTAAGGTGAACTAGCAAACATCATCATAGCTACATGCAGCTGTCTTCTTGTTTGATGGCAGATACTCCCTTCACCCTGGCCAAAAAGGCTAAAATGACCAAAGAAAAAGTGGAAAACAGTTAAACATGAGAGGTTTTGGACAAAGTTTGTGTTTTTTCCATTGTTTAAGCACTGCTTCCAGCCAAGAGTGATGCCATATATGCCCCATAGCTGCAGAAAAGGCTAACATTGTTATCTTTTTACAAAAAAACCAGCTGAACATGAGAGGTTTTTGGACCAATTTTGTGTTCTCCATTCTTTAAGCACCGGTTTGAGCACCGTTTGAGCACCGGCACCGTTTCAAAAGTACAGATTTGGCACCGGTATCGGATAAAACCTAAACGATACCCATCCCTATATGTTTGTGTGTTGTACTTGTTGTTTACATTTCGGACAATTTGTAAAAGTATTACTTGATCGTTAATAAGTTTATGAGTGATCTAGCAGGCTGATGCTAGCACGGAAACGTGGTTATATCAAGTGAATGTTTATTTTGTTTTATGTCATGATTACAGCTCTTACGATGTGCCTATGGTAACTTGTGAATAAATGGGTTGGAATACCCCACCATGGTCCATCCGTAATGATCATTGAGTGCATCGTCTGAATAAAGTCCGGCTGAAATGCTACAGAGAGACCTAATATTTAATAAATCACATTTCACTGTTTTACTCTTTGTTTCAGATGTGGATACTGTATTGTTCTTTCTTTGTGAATTGTTTATGTTTAAGTTGTTTGTTGCTGGTTTTTAGTTTGTTTTTTGTCTGTTTGGGAGCTGACACAGTCTCTATGGAGATGGGTTTTTGGGGGGGTAGCAGGAGGAGAGAAGCTGCAGAGAGGCGTGTAAGACTGCAACTCTGCTTCCTGGTCCCAACTCTGGATAGTCATATTTTGGGGGGTTTAATAAATTTGTCCATATTTCTAGAAATGAGAGCTGCTCCATCCAAAGTGGGATGGATGCCGTCTCTCCTAACAAGACCAGGTTTCCTCCAGAAGGTTTGCCAATTATCTATGAAGCCCACATCGTTTCTGGGACACCACTCAGACAGCCAGCAATTTAAGGAGAACATGCGGCTAAACATGTCACTCCTGGTCTGATTGGGGAGGGGACCAGAGAAAACTACAGAGTCCAACATTGTTTTGGCAAAGTTACACCGATTCAATATTTTTTAATACTATTTGTATGTTTATAGTGGTGCAGAACTGGGCATTTATTTTCCCAAATGTCTGCACTGAGTAGGAGATTGTACATGTGTATAGAAAAAAAAAGGATTCTACTTCATTCTATTAGGGTAGAGATCTGTTTTAGTGTGTGGGGCTGTGGCCTCAGGTTCATATTATTAAATGGTGATTATGAAACAGTGCATTTCAGATAATTTTACAGAGTAACATGAAAGTAACGTAACAAGTAGACCAACGAATGTCTTTCTTCTGGGTGTAATTAAGTAACATACTGCAATACTTTAAAGAAAATTGCTCTGTGTAATATGTGTAATAATTACTTTGTTGAGTAACGACACCAACACTGATCACAACAAAGAGGGAAGCACCTCTAACATGCACAAACATGTGACCCGCAGCATGCAGTGAATGTGCATGAGTGTAATTTCTTTGATGTGCTGATTATTGATGGTGGTGACTCTCAAAGTGGAGCCAGTGAGAACTGATAAGGGAAGGAATTGAATTGATAAGTGATATCAATAATAGAACTGAAACTGCTAAATTCTTATCAATTCGAATCCCTAGTCAAGATTGAATTTAAAGTTTTCAATTCACTCAGCCTTACAGACACTCAAGAACCAGCGCTCCTTTACACTGAAAGTTAAGGTAGCTCAGGCACCTGATCAAGACATGTTTAAGTTGCCTCTCAGTGGAGGTTTAGTGGGTTGGGTGTCCAGCTGGGTGAAGACTGTGGGTTCCACCAAAAAAGGGACACATTAGAGGACACAGGAATACTTGGTGCCCCGATGAGGTTTACATACATGTAAGCGGATGAAAGGATGATAGATGAAGTTTCTATGTTTTTGTTGTCACCTTTGCAGTCCTGGTTTAAGGCGTTGCCATGGTAGCCAGATTTGCAGTGTTGGCAGTGCAGGCCAATTGTGTTGTGAAGGCAGTGTAGACACTCTCCTGTTGTGCTGTTACATGAGTTGGGATCATCAGGGTCGATGTTGTTGTTGCAGGGACACTCTTTACAGACTGCACCTGGCAATGTCAGATCACCATAGAAACCAGGGCTGCAGCTGTCACAGCTTACACCTAAAAGGGAAATGGAGAGTGATATATTTTATTTGTCTTTCCAAAAATCTGCTGATAAACACTGACTCTTAGCATCGCTGCTGTGTGTCTGTCTGGTTGCCTCTTTTATGTAAAGAAGGTAAAAGTAAGTAATGCAAACATACTAGCTCTTACCTGTGTGCCCCTCCTGGCACTTACAGATGAGCCTGAGGGACTGTGGGTCATGCTGGCAGGAAGTGGCGAAGAATCGTCCACTGCTCAGAACATCTGGACACAAACATGGCTGACAGGCCTGTCTGGAGCTTGGGTCACCATAGTAACCCTCAACACACCTGCATCAAAATAGGTTTATCATGATTACCTGAACAAGTACCGACCCTCAGCAGTAAGTACTGGCACACTTATTTCCTGAGTAAATCTAATTTAAATAAATTTACTCAGAGACGTAGCAAAGACATTTTCAGAGGGAAATTTTCAGCTGAAAAAAACCCAGCTGAGTTACAGTAAACAAAGGTTCCTTTTTTGAAATTGCATCTACTTGCAGATAAAAGCGTCATAGCTGAAAACTGAAAACCCAGCCCTTTGTCTAATTCTTTCTGTTCTTCATCATTATAGAGTATAGTATGTACTACATCTCTGACTCAAGGAGAGGGCCTAAGGGTACATCTGTCACCATCTTACAATGCTGTGATTGCAGCCATTCCCCAACTCTCTGTGAATGGTACTCATTGCCATTGATCATGACAATTTGCATATTAATGATTAAGGACCTGACCTCACAGTCAGTGAGTTGTATCAGGTGGCGGGGGAGGACGCTGGACAGACCTGGTGCACCTAAACGCATAGTGAGGGTGTGCTGGGAACGTCTAGCAGAGATCTTCAATGCACACCTCCGGCAGAGCTTCAACAGCATTCCGAGGGAGACTGGGGACATTGAGTCCGAATGGACCATGTTCAGCGTCTCCATTGCCGAAGCTGCTGCATTGAGCTGCGGCCGCAAGGTGGTTGGTGCCTGCCGTGGTGGTAATCCCCGAACCAAATGGTGGACACCAGAGGTGAAGGGAGCCACCAGGCTGAAGAAGGAGTCCTATCGGGCTTGGTTAGCCTGTGGGACTCCGGAGGCAGCCGACAGGTATCGACAGGCCAAGCGGAATGCGGCTCGGGCAGTGGCTGAAGCAAAAACTCGGGTGTGGGAGGAGTTCGGAGAGGCCATGGAAAAAGACTTTCGGACTGCCTCGAAGAGATTCTGGCAAACCGTCAGACGTCTCAGGAGGGGAAAGCGGTGCTCTACCTGCACTGTGTATAGTGCTGGCGGAGCGCTGCTGACGTCGACTGAGAAAATTGTCAGGCGGTGGAAGGAATACTTCGAGGACCTCCTTAATCCCACTGACACGTCTTCCGAGGAGGAAGCAGAGTCTGGGGATGAGGGGAATGACCCGCCAATTTCCGGGGGCGAGGTCACTGAGGCAGTTAAACAACTCCTTGGTGGCAGAGCCCCTGGTGTTGATGAGGTCCGCCCCGAGTTCCTGAAGGCTCTGGACGTTGTAGGGCTGTCCTGGTTGACACGCCTCTGCAATGTTGCGTGGAGATCAGGGGCAGTACCTGTGGACTGGCAGACCGGGGTGGTGGTCCCCATCTTTAAGAAAGGGGACCGGAGGGTGTGTTCCAACTACAGGGGGATCACACTCCTCAGCCTCCCTGGGAAAGTCTATGCCAGGGTGCTGGAAAGGAGAGTTCGTCCGTTAGTCGAACCTCGGATACAGGAGGAACAATGCGGTTTTCGTCCTGGTCGCGGAACACTGGACCAGCTCTTTATCCTCTCCAGGATACTTGAGGGTGCATGGGAGTTTGCCCAACCAGTCTACATGTGTTTTGTGGACTTGGAGAAGGCATTCGACCGTGTCCCTCGGGGTGTCCTGTGGGAGGTGTTGCGGGAATATGGGGTGTCTGGCCCATTGCTACGGGCCATTCGATCCCTATACAACCGTTGCAAGAGCTTGGTTCGCATTGCCGGCAATAAGTCGGACTCGTTCCCGGTGGGTGATGGGCTTCGCCAGGGCTGCCCTTTGTCTCCGGTTCTGTTCATAATTTTTATGGACAGGATTTCTAGGCGCAGCCAAGTGGCGGAGGGCTTTCGCTTTGGTGGCCTCAGAATCTCATCTCTGATTTTTGCGGATGATGTGGTTCTGTTGGCTTCATCGGGTGAGGGCCTCCAGCTCGCACTGGAACGGTTCGCAGCCGAGTGTGAAGCAGCGGGAATGAGGATCAGCACCTCCAAATCTGAGGCCATGGTTCTCAGCCGGAAAAGGGTGGAGTGCCCACTCCGGGTCGGGGATGAGTTCCTGCCCCAAGTGGAGGAGTTCAAGTATCTCGGGGTCTTGTTCGCGAGTGATGGGAGAAGGGAGCCGGAGATCGACAGACGGATTGGGGCTGCAGCTGCAGTAATGCGGACGCTGCACCGGTCCGTCGTGGTGAAGAGGGAGCTGAGTGTAAAAGCGAAGCTCTCAATTTACCGGTCGATCTACGTCCCTACCCTCACCTATGGCCACGAGCTGTGGGTAGTGACCGAAAGAACGAGATCGCGGATACAAGCGGCAGAAATGAGCTTCCTCCGAAGGGTGGCTGGCCTCTCCCTTAGAGATAGGGTGAGAAGTTCGGCCATCCGGGAGGGGCTCAGAGTAGAGCAGCTGCTGCTCCACATCGAAAGGAGCCAGCTGAGGTGGTTCGGGCATCTGACAAGGATGCCCCCTGGGCGCCTCCTGGGTGAGGTGTTCCAGGCATGTCCCACCGGGAGGAGGCCCCGGGGCAGACCCAGGACACGCTGGAGAGATTATATCTCTCGGCTGGCCTGGGAACGCCTTGGTATTCCCCCGGATAAGCTGGAGGAGGTGGCTGGGGAGAGGGAGGTCTGGGCCTCTTTGCTTAGGCTGCTGCCCCCGCGACCCGGCCCGGACAAAGCGGATGAAGATGGATGGATGGATGGACCTCACAGTCCATTGTTTGTCAGTGACTAACCTTTCACAGCTGGGTCCAGTAGTGTGCTCCCTGCAGTTCAGACAGTCTCCGGTAAATCCATCACACACCTCTGATAGCCCATTACATTCACACGATCGACATGAAGGGAATCTCCAGAATCCCATCTGACAGCGTTTGCAGCGCTGACCCGTAATCTCTGAACGGCATGCACACTGACCGCTGACCTGATCGCACAGCTCTGACACAGAGCCATGGGGGTCACAATCACATCCTGCAAAAAGGTGAGAATTCATTGTGAATCAACTGTCAGATGCTCAGAGAGAAAACGAAAGGCAGTGTTTCCCCTCTGGTTTGGGTTTCTTACGTTTGCAACCTTCAGGTCCAAAGCCAAACGTCATTGGGGCACAGGCATCGCAGCAACGACCAATCACATTGGCCTTACAGTCACAAAATCCACCCAGTTTACTGCAGAATGGTTCAGTAGAGCCAATAACATTACACCTGCATACTGAGCACAGGTAAAACGCAGATATAGAAATATGAAACACTCATCTTTTCCATTGTCTCAGTCCTGGATCATCTCAGTCCAACTACTTACGGACAGCTCCATTGTGGATTTGTGCTGAAAGGCTCACGATGAGTCCCTCGCAGACTTCAGGTAGCGACTCCTGAGGGCCAGGCTTGACAGCCAATCCAGTACAGGGAAACTGGTGAAAAGTGTCGAGGTCGCTCTGAGAGCAGAAATTTTGGACTGACCTGATTCTATTAAAAAGAATAATCTGAAAAAAGGGGGGCATGATTAAACATGTAGAAATCACCTCATATAGACACATCCCATCATTTAATTTTGAAGAGAAAAATTGAAAATTGAAACCATGCAATCTTCCCAAATTTATTTTTGCACAGAGAGTGCACTTGTATTACTCAGCTATGATTGGACAGTTACTGTTAGTAGGAGGATTTCAGGGAATATGTCAATCACTTTATCTGAATAGATGGAGACCTCCTTACCGAGTCAATTAGGATGTGTGAACTATCAGATCTGGGCTGTTTGTAAAAGGTGACATCCACAAAATATTGACCTCCAGCATTTAGACAGAGCAAAGAGTCCAGAATACCTCGTCTGGAAAAACAAACAGAAAAAACAAACAAAAACTGCTGCTACTGAGACACAATCTCTGACACAAGTACACTATTAAAGCTTCAGAGAACCTTGGAGCTCACATAAATAAAAACGTGTAAGAATGTCTCTGTACATGAAACCAGGAGTACAAAGGCACAACATTTGGCTCATGTGCGTTAGCTGTAGCTGCTGGTTGTCTGCTGTCGTTTTATAGATGTTCTGTTGAGAGTCCTCTCTCAGTACATCCTGGTATGGTTCACAAGCTGCACTAGGACTGACAACAAAGTGCTGCAAAGTTTATTAAATCATCACACACATGCAGCTACGCCCTGTCACTGATATACACACAGAGCCTGCTGCCTCAGCCACAAACATGATGTCACCACAGACCACCTGATCATGGCCTCTATTAACAACTCACACAGAGACTGTCCAATATCCTGTACAATTTGCTAGTTTCAAAGAACCTGCTTAATTTCACATCTGAATAGTGTTGTGGCAGATTTCTTTTCTCATGTATTAATCACATATTTAATCATATCACATTAGTTATAGTAATATCACTTTCTCACTTTACTATAGTAAGAGCACTCCTGTCCATAGTTTACATGCATGTGGAACGTTAACACAGTGAGGCCGTTAAACAGATAGTGGGACTCCTGCTTATCAGGGATGTAAATCCTTAGGTGACGGCCAAGCAGAAAACAAGGTCATAATTCTCTCTGAGGGACGAGGTATTGCTCCATGTGAGAGGGGCCAACATGTAAGAGTTTGTGGATGTTCTTTGTCTGTGTCTCTGTATATATGATGTAAGGGCGGTGGCCACAATTCAGAGATGGTCCTGGTGTTTCACTGGGATGCTCTCTCCATATTGCAATGTGTTTATTAAACCCACTTCAAATCAAGCTCACTGGGTGTTTTGCAGGTAATTGTTAAATTTTCCATAACAATTTGGCGTTGTCAGGCAGGATTCCTCCGGTGAGTTTCGCTGAACTACGGGCACACAGTGACTGGCCATCCTGAGGTAAACTTGCCTCAGTCCCACCGTTCCTTTGTTTTCAAAAAAAGGGGGAACCGCAAGGTGTGCTTCAACGACTCACACATGCAGGAATTTTTTAATGAACCAAGAGACGGACTGCAAATGATTTACAACGGTGAGCTGCTTTGATTTGGGCAGGGTTTTTAACCAGACAGATGGGAAAAGCCTTGGTTACTTATTACTGCAACAAGTAGATGCAGGGTCCTAGAAACTCAACGAATTTGGGTATCCTAGTGTGAGAAATTGCACCTTGTTGTGGTAGTAAGTGCAGGATCTTAGAATCTCAATAATTTGAGTGTTCTAGTGTATGGCAGTTTAGCACTTTTGCACCAGTGAAAAAAGGCAGAAAGGCCTTGTTCGTACAAAGGAAGATGGGCTCAGAAAAATGGCTACTGGAGCAGTGGGAGGCATTCCTCTACGTGGTCTGGTTGAAAACTCCAAGTGTGTGGAAGATGGTTGTGTGATTGAAAGATATGTTGACAGGGATAAGAGTTTTTTGTTGTTGCTGTTGTTGGGTTTTCTGTTTATTTGTTTTAGATGGACCACTGGGAGGGAAACCTCAGAAATACGACGCCTGATTTCAGGACTGTTGTGGGAAGGACTCTGTTCTTAGTTTATGGTGTTTAACACTTTTGCATCGGAAGGAAAAGGCCAGACGGTGAACGCGCTTGTCCACAAAGTTGAGCCCAGCAGTACGGCCAGTGAGGCTGTAGGAGGCATCCCTTCAGGTGGTCTGGACATATCCAGGTTTTAATTGTATGATTTTTTTTCTTTCAGAAATATGGGAAAGAATACATGGAGTATGAAGTGTGTAGAAACTGAGGAATGCAGTAAAGAGAAGTGTGTGTGTGTGAGGAGTGCTGTGGGTGTGTGTATAACAGAGTATAAAAGAGATGTGTTAAAATGTGGATAGAAGAATAAGAGAGGGAAAGTGTTAATGAGCAGTGATGAAAATGATATTAAATAAATGTTTTAGTGTGTTAGTACAGGTTGCTACGGAACTGGATCAGCGCCTGTCAACTTAGTGGGTTAATAGCTGATATGCAAATTAGTTGATTGTTACTAGATCAGGGAAAGATGACTGGGTTATAAAACAAGTGAATAAGATGTAGCAGAGGGTTGACATGAGTTTCCTGTTTCTGATGTATGGGTGAAAGTTGCACCCAGATACACATCACTGAATACATAAAAACAAACTTGTTTTGTGAAATACATGATGACATGTTACACGTTTACTTTTGGAGGGGGAGAAAAGGAGAAAAGCTAAATGAAATGATTTGGTCTGTGAAAATGACAAATGAGTGCAAAAGCACAGACCTGGGGAAGAAATTCACATTCCAGTGATAAAACATTGATATGAAGTGTTTAGGAAGCGTTTAATGGTGAACATTAGTGTTGTGTGAACTGTGCAGCTGCTAATAAAAAAAGAGGGAGATTTCTCTGTGTATTTAGCAGGTGGAACTATGTTTGTGTCATGTTTCGGCTGTGTGGCAGGCAGGAGAGGACCCAAACGCAAACTCACGGGGACAGAACTTGAACTCAAAAGCACAGCTTTAATTGCTGGAAAAATAGAACACAGGCAATACAAAACTAAACTGGGTAAGCTAATCATAAAGTATACCAGGAGACACGGGGAGAATCACACACAGCATGAGGGAGACTACGACACTGACAAAGAGAAACACAGGGCTTAAATACACAGAGGGATAACGAGGGAATGAGACACAGAAGGAGAGCACAGCTGGGAGTAATCAGGCTGGACGAGACAAGGGGAGCAAAACTAGAAACACTCACATGAGACATGGACCTCCAAAGTAAAACAGGAAACACACTGACTGAACTCTAAACATGCAAACTTAACAGCAACTGAGAAGAAAGAATCGTGACATGTTTGTTGGCCCCAGACTTTCCAGACTTTGATATTCTGGAGCACTTGTGGGCAACCAGTAAATATGATGTGGGGAAAATGAACAACGGTAGTGACTCTTAAGTCTGATTTTAGACCATGTAAGCATCAGTTATTAATTAAAGTAAAGCCAGGAGCAGTGACTGCATAGCAGGTTCTAATCCCTACAGCATGTTGTTTCACCTGAAGGCAAAACGTTTCCTGTGATTTTTCTGGCAGATTTTGGGGTTTTGTTTTAGTACCAGGCTGATTCTGCCAGTTAGGTTTGGGTTGTTTTCTTTTTCTTTTTGCACGTACAAATGTCCGGAACTGGGCCCAATAAGGGTTTATTTTTGTAACAGTGCACTTAGGAAAAAACCTGCCAGGTATCACGTGTGATATTTTGTGTGTTGATGATTTAATAATCAGCTCTCTTTAAGCAGGCAGCAAGATTGGAAGTAAAAGTGCTATAAAATACTTTACTGAGAGCAAATACAAAGTGAGATTCTCCAGATTACAATGGCTTAGGAGAAATACACCTACCTAGGACCATATTAGATGGCAAGTCCTGTGTTTAAAAGGATTGTAGCGATTCAATTCATTTCAAAAGCAAAAAGAATTGTTTTTATTTTTGGAATGACTTAATATTGCTGCCAGTGGATACTTAAATTCGTGCGCGGTTTTCCACTATCAGCAATGATTTGTACGAATGTATATGACTGGATGAATGCATGTGATTGAGATGAATGCATATGACTGGACTGTGGCTGGACTGATGATGTGGACTAAGTGTGACTGACTTGTCACTTAGTCACTTAGTCACTTCTAATGCCTAATCCACCCCAAACAGTGAAAAAAAGGGTGGATGTATGTGGGGGGTTTGTTTTCTTGTTTTTGCAGGAGCAGGAGGATGGCAGAGACCAGAGGAGGTGGAGACCTGTGGGTTCACATGAATGTGTGTGGAACCTGCAGACTTAATCCTTTACATAGCACTTTTCTGTGTTACTGATTTTTGTGTGAAGGAAACTGTGGTTTTACTGGCTGCTTGTTGGTTATGGTACCACATTGTAGTGTTGGGAAATGTTAAATGTTACAGTGGGAAAATGTGTATTCAGTGTGAAACACATACTGTGTTAAGATCAGTATCACTCCTTTCGCAGAAAAGGAGGGTTGACCACATGATTTACAGCAGCACCTCTGGAATCTGTTAATCTAGGCCCGACCTGCGAGGACACACCACCGGCTAATGTTTTTTTTCCTCTCTAAGGGTTTTGGCATCACACAGGCAGACATAAGTGAAATGAAGCAGGTTTTGCAGTTATTACAGAACATCTTAGTGTGGGGCTCATTATCATATCTTTATTCATTTTAAGGTGTTGAGCCCACAGTGTTTAAAACAAGTGAGTGACATTACTTAAGAAAGGTCACTGGCTACAGTAGTTTTGAATAAACACATTTGGCAAATTATGGCAACAGTAGTGTTTTTAATGATTTGGGGAAATAAACTGCGCAAGGCACACTTGTGTCTGTGGTGTGGGATGCCTTATTACTCTTATCACCTACAGTTGTTTGCAAGTGTGAAATTTGTATTTACTCACTGATTTTGGTTTCTGGGTAATTGTGGTGTGGATGCAGGCTGCAGGCAGAGCCAAGAATTAGACCTACTTAACATGACATTAATACAAATTTTCTCTAACACAGGGTTTACAGTGCTGGAGCAAAATTACTCAGGAGGAGAAGCCCTGATGTTGTCTGAGAAATGATCTAACTACCCTTTTGTGTTGTTATTCTCCTAGTTCTGATGAGTTGACTCATGGGAGAGACCATGTATCAAAAGGAGGGATTCCAGGTTTAACATGAAACAATGTTCTCTATGTTTTTTATGAGTTTTTTCATGATAATTTTTCCATGGCTTTTTGTGGGATTAACAGTTCATTTATAGGTATGAAACCTCTACATGGGGCACAGACATGTTCAGATAAGGGTAGGGCTGTGCAATATGACCAAAATCTCATATCCTGATATAAGACATCTATCGTCCCAATAACAATATAAATCACAAGAATTTAATATTTTTTGTATATTCTATGAATCTCGGGCAGCTTGACTTGCGTGATGTACCTGGAGTCGAGTGTTTTAACCGATGCATGAAACGATACATTTTTAGACACAAGTTGTAATTGCCGCCGTTTTCTTTGTGAGTATTTATTACCCATCGTGCTGCGGGGAAAAGCCTGTTGTAACGTTGAGTCTTTTAGCACCTGATGGCTCTTTTTATACTCTGCATACTCTTTCACGTGATTGAGTTTATCTTGAAAAGTCTCAAAAGGATCTTGAACTTTATTGTGAAAGGTTAATGTGGAAACTAAACCAGCGAACACGCAATGGTTTTGCCGTCGTTGTTGCTAATGACAACGCATAAAAGCAGGCGCTTGTCCGTCCGTAGTGTAGTTATATTAAATATAAGAGAAAGAGAGAAATTTAAGAAATTAATATAGTCACTACAGCCACCATCAAAACAACGAAAAAATATTGAAACAGTTTATTTTGCAACACCACGAAACAAACAATAGCGTAAAATGAAACAATAGACGTTTTTATATCGTCATTCGATATATATCGTTGTGTCGAACAGCCCTAGATAAGGGTTTGATAACCTATAAGTAAACTTCACTGAACTGAAAGGAAAATGTGGTTTGATGATGGTTGACATGTTTTCCAAATGGTTAGAAGGTTTTCCTCCTAGCAAGGAGATACAGGTGCAGTAGCCAGAATATTGCTGGAAGAAATCATCCCAAGGGTGGAATCTCCAGAATGAGATTGAGACTGGGTGCTGATCAGAAGTCTTCAGAGACCCAGCGAGAAGCAGGGATCATTCATAGCACAGCTGACAGCCCAGGCAGTGGTTGAGATCAAAGGTCGTGCGGTTTGGGGCCCTACTAGTCATCATGAGAAGATTCCAGAACCACAGAAATAACCATAAAGGTTAAAGATTTCTGCATTAGACACTGAGGAAGACAACAGGGTGTCAGATGATCTCTGCCCTTTTAACCTACAGCTACATTGGAACGAGAGAGTGAGGGGTGAAAAGAGCACCCTCCTCCAACAAGGGTGTGCCAAGCTCCAACTCAGCGACTGCAGAGCAGACCCTGTGTCACCCAAGAGCAATCAGTGAATGAATGCAGATGACAACTGATTAAACAATCAGGCTGTTATGCCTGAAGTAGTTGTAGTTGTGTTTTTGAGTTAAGGTGGTCGTTGGTGTATAGTAATCTTACTAGTAAGGATATGATTTAATTACATATTTAATCATATCACATCAGAAATCTGCCACAACACTATTCAGATGTGAAATTACAACAATAGTCATGTGACATTCATGGATGTAATAGATGCCCTGTTTTTTGATTCTCACCTGGAGTTTCCAGGTAGAATCACAGTTTTACTTCCTGTTGGATTGCTGCTGCAGCCACCATCGCCTGGTGACACTTTGCCGATACTGACTATAGCCATCCAATCAGATGCAGACTAGAGAAAATAAGAAAATTGACATGAGTTACAGAAAGTCAATTCCGTCAATTTTATTAAACATGTACATTTACATGAAGTTTACCATTCAAAATCGCCTCACCTCTGGTTCATAGGAAATCGCCAGCTGGTAATCAGTCGAAGATGGGAGGTTGTCCACAGTAAATCTAAGCCCCACCCCCTCGAACACTCTGACCAATCCTAGGCCAGTCCAGGTTACTGGCTGGTGAGATGCCCTTTGACGGGGAATAATTTGCAGGGTGTAACCAGGGACCAGAGGTATGCTGGTTTGCTGCTGGATGGAAATAAACAACAGATGCACTGAGGAAAGAGGACGATCTGATTAGCTGAAACATGAGTTGAGCTGTTTCCAAATTCAGGGGCTGCATCCTTTGGAGACCACATTTGTGGGATGACTATATCACAGCACACCAAAGGCTGCTCCAAATGCGGCCCACTAATGCGTCCTCCTTTTCCCCGGATTTGAAGAGGGTCCGGTGTATCCTTTGTGTCCCAGAGAAGCCCAGACCTCTCTCCCCAGCTATCTCCTCCAGCTTATCTGGGGGAACAGCAAGGCATTCCTAAGTCAGCCAAGAGATATAATCTCTCCAGCGTGTCCTGGGTCTGCCCCCAAGCTTCCTCCTGATGGAACATCACCCAGGAGGCGCCCAGGAGGCATTCTTGTCTGATGCTTGAACCATCTAGGCTGGCTCCTTTCGATGTGGAAGAGCAGCCTCCCTACTCTGAGCCCCTGCCAGATGGCTGAACCTCTCTAAGGGAGAGGCCAGCCACCCTTCGGAGGATGCCCACTTGTTCATCACTTGTGAACAAGACCACAGGATAGTTAAACTCCTCCACTTGGGGAAGGAACTCGTCCCTGACCTGGAGTGGGCACCCCAACCCTTTGGGCTGAGGACCATGGCCTCAGACTTGGAGGTGCTGATTTTCATTACCACCACTTCACACTCAGCTGTGAATCATTCCAGTGTGAGCTGGAGACCATCACCTGATGAAGCCAACAGAACCACATCATCCGCGAAAAGCAGACATGAGATTCTGAGACCATCAGGTGAAAGCCTTATGCCCCTTGGCTAAACCTAGAAACTTTGTCCATAAAAATTTTGAACAGAATCTGTGACAAAGGGCAGCCCTAGCGGAGTCCATCACCCACTGGGAATGAGTCCCACTAATTACCCGGTCGAATGCCCACAGCCAAAACACTGGCTGGGCAAACTCCCATGCACCCTCATGTATCCTTGAGAGGATAAAGACCTGGTCCAGTTTTCCACGACTAGGACGAAAACCGCATTGTTCCTCCTTTATCTGGTTTGACTGAAGGAAGGACAGACTGAATACTTTCCAACACCCTGGCATATACATTCCCACAGACCTTGGTAGGTCGTCCCGCTCCCCAGACTCTGCTTACTTCACAGAAGACATGCCAGTGGGATTGAGGAGGTCCCCAAAGTATTCCTTCCACCGCCCGACAATTTTCTCAGTCGACATCAGCAGCACTCCACCTGCACTATACACAGTGCAGGTAGAGCACTGCTTTTCACTCCTGAGCCGGCTGAGCCGCGTTCCGCTTGGCTTGTCAGTACATATTAGACAATTTTCGGATCAGCAAAAAAAGAAAAAAGACAAAAATGTAACATTTACTTATTAACTTATTGAAGTATTTTTTGCCTGTTAAAAACATTCAACTCAGGACTCATTCCACATAATCATTAAAAAAAAATGGTTTAATATAGGGCAGTATAGGGCTTTGTATCTACCACTGAATTAAATTTTATTTATAGAGTGCCAAATCACAACAACAGTCCCCTCAAGGCACTTTATATTGTTAGGTAGACCCTACAATAATACATACAGCTCATTATATCGCACTCCGCTGTTATATAATGAGCTGTCACGGTCACATAGCTTTCCGTTGCCCTGGAGGTCCACCCGTTTGTAGTTGGGCAACAGAAGATGCCTGGGACAGTTCAGCCATAACTTTAAACTTTTCCTGCTCATACATGCTTGGAATGATCTTGCCACTAAAGTGGACGTGCAATGGGATATCATAGCGTGGCTCAAGCACGTTCATCATAGTTTAACCCCCTTGTTTTGCACAACGGAATATGACCTCCAGTCTGCAGCTAAACATCCCAATAGCTTTTGTAATAGCTTTAGCCCGATCGGACTGGGCAGCAAACGGCTGCTTAAATACAGAAAACTCCTCTGCTCTTCCACCTGGACCACTAGCGCTGGCCATAACTATCGCTTGACAGACGCACCATACACATAATTTTTTTCCTTCTTTTTCGAATCTTCGGATCACGTGGGTGCCAAACTGTGGAGTGGGATCGGTTCGGATTACGGATCAACCGTGATCCGTTGCACCACTAGTGCATATCAGCTGCCTCTGAAGTCCCACAGGCGAACCAAGGACTCCTTCAATAGGACTCCTTCTTCAGCCGGGTGGCTCCCTTCACCCTTCACCAAGAGTCACAAGGGGAAAACACATAAGGAACAACGTAACAGAGCAACCCAGGAAGCATGGCCTAAATAAGGAACAAAATACAAAAATACATGAAAACTAAGAATACTGGGCCAACATGGCCCAGGACCATGACAAACCCTGCTTCATCTGTGTTTCCCTGCTGTCTACCATCGTCTGCCTCTGCTCGCCGATCCTTCATGTTCGTGTTCTGGTTTCTGCGCTGTAGTTCAGTTGTTTTCCAGTATAGTTTAGTTTGTCTTCGTTTGCCATTCTTCCTTTGCCATTTATTCAATAAACCACCTTCACACCCTCACGACTGCCTGCGCTTGAATCCTCCTTCATTTCTTCCACACGGCTCTTCTCACTCGCCGTGACAGTACGGACCAGCCAGATATGGATCCAGCGGCAGTCACCCCACCTAGGGAGCTTCAGGAGGCCGTTATCGACTCTGCTTCTAAATTAATTTACCAGTTGTTAGAGCATGAGGGAGAAGCCTCTCTTTATTCTGTGGAAGCCAGCCTACAACACCTTATTTCCTGTTATCATTGGCTATTGGACTCTCTGCATCCGCTCGTGCAGAATTTTGTTCTCCACGAGCTTCACCTACACCCCCCTGCTACTACCGCTCGCCTGCTCGCTTCACCGGAGGACGTGCCGTCCGAACCGCCGGATGAGGGATTACCCGGCCTGTCGGAGCCGTCTCCAAGAAAGAAGCGACGTTTGCGCCGTCGGCGTGGCACCCCACAGCCGGATGTCGGGACATGTAAACATTCGGCTGTGGTGAGTGAAAGGGACACTTTTTCTGCTGCGTCAGACTTTGTGACTGTGTTTTCTGGAGCTATTTTTTGTGTGTCTTTTGAAGATAACAATAATTTTTCTGCCTCACCCATGGCCACTGCTTCAAAGACTGTTTCTTCTGAGCCCACGCTCTGTGTTAATGACTGTTTCCATTCTGTTTCCAAGCCTGGTATTATGAATTTAGACAATGAAAATGTTTGGGACCCTTTTTCACCTGCACTGATTCATTCAGGGGAAGTTGTAAACCTCACCGAAACAGTTTTTCCTGATCATGTTATCCCATCCACACCTTCACCACAAGTTAATGTGGGGCCTGTAACACAGTTAGCAGTACAGTTGTCAGTTCAGCCAGCAGCCCAGCTGCCCTCAGTTCAGCCAGCCACTCCACCACCTGTTACAACTTTGCTACCTGTAGCTCAGTTGCCACCAGTTCAGCAGCCTACCCACTCACTCATTCAGCCACCATCCTCACTGTCTCATTCTAAGCAGGGAACACACTTCATCACAACATCTGCTGGTTCTCTTAAGCTGGCCATGTCAGAGACAGTTGCTCCCTCTAGGGCCTCCCCAGAGGCTGGGTGTCAGTCACCAGCCAACTCTGGACCCCTAGAGGTCAAGACGCCAGCGCCAGCAGCCTCAC